GGCTGCTCTTCTTTCTTCTTTTTTTTTTTAAAACCCATGGAAGACGGCTTTTTAAATTGTACCTGTTATTTGCGGGGGAGGGGAAGTGAATCGTCACTTTAATAAGCAAGCGCTGGCCGAGGCTGGCGTCGCCCCGACCCGGCGTTGGCAGGTGTGAGGCCGAGCAGGGGCAAAGCCGGGCTCCCGCCCCAAAACACCCGCCGCCCTTGGCAGCTCCCACCCGCCTTTCCCACATCCCGACACCATAACCTGCTGCCTGCCTGCTTTTGACACCCAGGGCCCGGTGACCTTGGCCTGGCGCTTGCCCGGAGCTGGCCTCCATCTCCTCTTTGTTGGGGGTTTCCCTCGGTTGTGCCCGGTGAGGTCTCTGTGCGCTGTGGAGACCACGTCTTTGGTGCTTCCAGAGCCCGCCGTCAGGTCTCCTTCATCTTCTTGCCTTGTTTAAACAGGCTGTTATGTTAAAAATATACCTAAACCCCATCTTTGTTTTGAAAAAGTCACTCTGTCCAGCCATTAGTACTGGTTGTTTTCTTTAAGCATTTTACGCTTTTTCTGGAAGATGATGATTTGTTCATAAATGTCAGTATTTACACTGGAACGTTGCAAAGAAGAAATTGTCCTATCGGAGCATGGAAAACCCAAAACTATTCTAGCTTGAGGGGTCTGGCGGGATGATTTTGCAATGCTGAGTGCCTCATCTCAATGAAAATGAGGTTTTATTTGCTGGTCGCTGCTCCTGGTCGCCTTCCGCCCTGGGAAGATATTCTGCTGGCATACATGCTTTCCTTTTAGGAGTAATGAGAACCTCTGGGGTATGTTTTCCTACTGTAAGAGCTCTTGTTTCTCAGGTCTCTGGAATTTGCTGCTTTTCCCAATTCAGTTCACTACTTAAATGAATAGTATACCATTCTTCTATGTCAGAAAGCAGGTTAGAGGTTGTTCAGTATTGCATGGTATATGTACTATATAATGTCAATATTTTCCCCTAATAATAGAGTATGGTCAATTGTAAGCATCTGGTTTTAGATCTCAGGACAGAGAGTACAATTTAGATTATACTGGACAGCAAATTAAACAAACATTCCCTTTCATTTGCCCTCTTCTGTGTCGACGAGCATAATACCAAGGCAAAGGTAAGATTAAATCAGTGGTATTCTTCACCGCTCATAAATATAGGGTTAAATATTACACTTAATAGCCTTACTGCAATAATGCTTGGTGCAGGAAGACTAAAATCAAGTTTTCGTAGCAGACCTGTAAATGTGGAATTGACCTTTTCCCAGCTTTCTTGTCCTGGAGTTGACCTTTTCCCAGCTTTCTT